CCCTGTCACCGCCGCTGCATCTATGCGCCTTTTGTTCAGCGATTGTTTGGTTGGAGGCTGCGATGGCTCTGTTCTTGTTTCATCCAATGTCTTCAACCACGCCGAGCGCGATGCTGAAATCAACCGCAATCTTCCTGGTGACGCCTTTGACGTCGTCACTCGAGCGAAGATCACCTTAGAGCTCTCCTGCCCTGGGATTGTCTCTTGCTCCGACGTGTTAGCGCAAGCGACTAGAGATCTCATCGCGGCTACAGGCGGACCATCGTACAAAGTTGAATTAGGGCGAAAAGATAGCCTCGTCTCGAAAGTTTCAGACGTGGAAGGCAACATTCCGAAACCGAATCAATCAATCGACGAGTTGATCAAGCTATACACAGCGAAAGGCTTCACGATTCAAGAAATGGTAGCGCTATATGGCGGACGCACGATCGGATTCTCAAATTGCAAGGAATTCAGCGACCGGCTCTTCAATTTCAGCAAAAACACACCAACAGATCCTGAGATTAATTCGAAATACGCGGAGGCGTTGAAGAAGTCCTGCGCCGATTACGAGAAGAATCCAGCGAGTTCGGCGTACAGCGACCCTGTAACGCCAGGGAAGTTCGACAACGTATACTACCAGAATCTGCTGAGAGGAATGGGACTGTTGGCGTCGGATCAGGCGCTGGTGAAGGATCCGAGAACAAGGAAATTCGTGGAGATGTATGCAGGAAACCAGGCATTATTCTTCAAGGATTTTGGAGAGGCGATGGAGAAGATGAGCGTTCGCGAGGTGAAAACTGGCGGGAAAGGAGAAGTGAGGACAAGATGCGATGCGTTTAATTCAATCAACCATTAGCCCATTTTGTCTTTTCCTAAATAAGTCATTCTTTAAGGGGATTTTTTTCGTTTTTTTTTTCTTTGTAAGATTTATTTGGAAAAACATTGTAGAGAGTTTATTGATGGAAGAGAGTGAGAGGAAGAGGCGGAGGAACATCTTTTTGTAATTGTGGTTATTTCATGTTTTAATCAACTCAATTTTCTTATTTTCTCTTTTATTTTTTAATATATATATATATATATATATATATTGGTAAAATAGTTAGAAATGGTATTGGAGTGGACATCGTATGGTGTGCTAGAGTTGCTAGTAGTGAACTTAAGTTGCTACAAATGGTATAAAGTTTGCATTGAGTCATATTAGGAGGCTTGGTTTTGTATTAATGACCACAGATATACGTTAAAAGGTTTAGCTTACTATATATAGCACTAAGGTTTAGCTTACTATATATATATAGTGTTACTAGATATAACCATCTATTATATATAACTATAACTATATATTATATATGACTACGGTATATAACTATCTACTGTACATTTAGATTGAAATTATATATTTTTAAATATATAGTTTCAATCTACTAGATCATCATTTCCAAAAAAGTTGATAGACTGGGTGGATATGTAAAAACTATTCTGAATGAAGAAGGCTGAGAGTGTGTAGCGAAGGATAT